GTTTGTGCTGCAGCACAAAAATATGTCAGATATGGAGTTAAAAGGTGCAACGATATTATTTCGGTCAAGGGCTAACATTCGGTCAAAATATAGGATGTCGAAAACTATAGGAACTAACTGCATCAATATTTACCGCGTGAAACAATGACGCTTCTTATTTGGAAAATTTCATGCAAGCGATGTGAAGGTAGTGCAGCGTAAGTAATAGAAATTTTGAAGCGATATTCGTCGGCCGCTCTATCATCCATCGTATCATCGGTGGTGACCACTCTGAATAGGAATAAATCTCTCTTGGTCCATTCATCCAGAAAATCGCTATCCGGCTTGAAGGATAGTCGCCGCTCGTTGATATCCTCCTGAGTGAATCTCTTAGTTGGTACACCGGAAAGCAGTAGTTGTCCGTACCGTGGCACCTTTGTCACCAAGTACACGAGCTGCTGAGGCTTCAGCTGTAAAAAAAGAAGAAACCACGAATCAGAATTTAAATTCTTCCAGAAAATTGTCCTTTCGCTAAAAGAGAAACGATTTCGGCTACCCGTAAGCATCAAATGAGTTCTCAAAAAAGCCCATGTCGTTCGGCAGTCAGATATATTAGAAAGCTCAAATTTCACCAGGTTCTCACACTCTCCTTCCCGCATGTGGATGAAAAAACTGGCAAGAAGTGCCCGTGATCTGACTGTTGCACGAAACCATACAAAAACGCGTGGTTGCACTGTGTGGAGTTAATTCAATTATCTTGAAAATCTATGTCAAAATTTGAACAAAACCCTGATTTTTAATATAAGTTATTACTAAGCACCAACGTTTCGAACTTGAACTTTAAGCAAGTCAGCTCCGATAACCGCAGGATTTCTTCCTGGTGGTAGCACAAGACGCCCATTTGCACGCAGTTCAGCCTTCCTTCGATGTGAACTTTCAACGGTAAACCATTCTGGACCAATCTGATGCAGACCATCGCTCAACAGAAATGAAAATCCACCAGCTGCTATTGCGCCTGAAGCGAGCGCAGCAAGACTTGACCAGTGTAGCTAATTCGCGATTATATCAAAGTAAAAATCCAAATCTTCCCCACATTTATCTTGTGCAAAGCTTAAGGCACTATAGCAGTCCCAGTCGTAGCACATTTCAGCTACCAAGGATGCCGACTGCTCCCAAACTAACGGTCCAAACTATTAGAAAAAACAAACATTAACAAAGGCTGGAACGCACCAGGTGAGCCGGTGCGATCATGCGTTTTTGCATCAAAACTAAAGTA